CGTATACAGCGTCTCTACGTCACTCCTCCACAGTCCAAATATGGTTCATTGGATGCTAAAAAAACAACATGGCGACGGTCGTAATCCCAGATGACTGAGTCCACGCAGCACGATTGGAATAAACCACCACGTAACCCAGAGTGACAGAAAAATACTGTAGGAAGCTTTAAGGACATTCGTCCACCATGTAAGTGTCCTCAGAGGGAGTCCCCTCTGCATCATGTGAGGGACTGTTTTCCTCGTCCACCGCACCAGGAAGTGTCTTTGATGTCTGATTGGTGGGTTTGGTCTTAAGTGACTCAGCTAATTGGTGGTTGGAAGGGAGAAGGTTCAGGGTGTGGTTCCATCATTCCATTTGCTCCTGATGAGTGGATGCCTTGTTTATCCTGTGTGTGTGTGTGTGTGTGTGTGTGTGAAGCCCTGGAGTTTTAACTTTATTTAACCCCAAAAATGGTTAACGTGGTACTTCTCTCAAACCGAAACTAAATGCGTCAATCAGCTGATTCTTGTTAAGAGCAACTCACTAAAGCTCTTCCCTGAGCTGAGCTCAGTCCCAGCAGATTAAGCAGGGCTGCTGCAGCTCATACACACTTCTGCATCTTCCTTTCCAACTAAACTCTGGCTAAGGTTGTAGAGCAACAACCTCACATCCACTGTTGTACATGGAGTTAAGGGGCTTACCTCCATGTAGATTACCAACAATGTTTCTTTCTTACTACAGTATGAACGCAAAACAAAGAGGTTCTGCTGTGGTTTCATTGTTAGATACAGATCAATAGGTTGGTAAAATAAAAACTACATCATGTCATTTGTAACAAGTCTGACTTCATTAGTAAAGTTGAGAATTACTTTCTGGATAAATGAAAGAATGCATGTATGAGTATGTGAGTGAGTTACTTTCTGGATCAGTAAGGAGACTTGAGTCTAGAAAACATCCAGTTTTGGACACAGTACTCTAAATCAGGATGAGCATGGATGTGTTTCTAATTCAAGTTTGAAAAAAAATTTGTTTGTCTCACACAGACGCAGACGCAGCAAGACAGACGCGCACAAACACACAGTTATTAGCTCCATGCTCCACTAGCTCCAGAGTGCTGTTAGTCTTCCATGCTGCTCCCGGCTACACAGCCCAGCGTTTGAACCCCTCGGGGGAGGAGAGACTCTCACAGGGCTCTCCCCTGGAGCCCATCAAAGAGCCTACACACAGTTTGTTTGCCTGAAATTCAAATCCCACAATGCCACAGCAGGAGCTCCATGCCATCATGATCTGAAATAACACAATGTGTCAAATGATTGTCTTTGTGAGTGATAACAGAAAGCCTAATGCTGTTCACTTTGAGAGACGGCTGCTGTTTGAGCTTGAGACACTATTTTGGACCTCTAATCTGATTATTATAATTTCTTAGGGAATGTAGGGAACAAATCTTTTACAATTTTGTGCCCGGAATACCGTATGAAAGTTCCTAACTTATCTCTGATGGTTCGAAAGAATCAGACAACATGAGATTACTTCCAACCTTGTTTTAAGCCACGCTAGCAGCAAGGATACGGATGTTGGCCTGTTGGTCCACCTCCAGTCCAGAAATAAAACCGTATTTCAGCAAATATTGGATGGATTGACATAAGAGGATGTGATGAGCCCCTGACCTTTCATCTAGTGCCATCATTAGGTCAAAAATTCAACTTGTCCAATACAAGCAGTTGGCTCAAAGCACTGCTATGCCTGAAGGCAGCTTCACAGAGCTGTTGGCATGGCTGTACTCTTGGTCTAAATTCTAAATATATTCAGCAGCTTCAGGGATGTACAGATAATTAACAAAATACAAAGTATTTCAACAAACTATACAGTAACGTTTTGAACGTCTCCTATCTAAGTAACATTTGATACTCCAATCTAATTGAATCCCACATCTCACACAGCGTAGACTTCTCAGAATGCTGTCGTCTCAAATGTCTGTGAGCTCTTGTGGTTGCCTCCCTCACCAGGTGACCGGCAGACTGCTGTGTGTGTGTGGGCAGTACGTTTGAGTTTGTTTTTATGTGTGTGTGTGTGTGTGTGTGTGTGTGTGTGTGTTAGTGTGACTTCCCAGTGCAGCCTTTGAAGCTGTTCCATTTGGCCCTTGGCCCCATCTGTAGACAGTGTGTAAAACATGCTGTGGTACTGATAACTCCTGGGTCACACTGGGTTCAGTGTAACAATGTCTCTTGTTTCCCCTCTCTGCCTCTCTCCGTCTTCAGGCTCGAAATGATGCATTTTCACACAGCTGAAGGATTACGAAATGTGTATGATGATAAAAATAAATTGATAAAAAACTAAGAAACTGTATGCAAGTGTGCAACTGTAGCATGTAAACACTGTAAAACGATTACAATGTGAATTCTTTGATGTGAACTATTGTAGTTGCAGTTTAGTTGAAGCACTGAGATGTAAGCACTGAAAGGACTTGAAGAGTCAGAGCTGAAAACAGGTGGTAGCATTAATACGTTTGGTTCAAATTCTGTAGGCAGTGGAGTTGTTCATTTCCATGTTTGCACTGAAAGTAGTTGAACTAACAGTTGAAGGTTAAAGCAAAGAGCTGGAAGCAGCTGAAAAGTCGGTCGATAACTTTGCCAGATAGTAAGTACCGAAAGTAGTTGAAGTGTGAGAGATGAAAGCAGTTCATGTGGAGAGCTAGAGACAAAAGTTAAACTGTCAGTTGATCTGTTAACAATTAAAGTAATTGAATAGTTGAAGTGTGTGTACTGTAAACAGTGGACGTGTCAATCAGTATACAAGCAGATACAGCAGTTGAAAAGGCAACTGAAGTGGTTGAAGTGTAAGCTGTACAATTATTTCACTTCACTTTACCAATCATGAAATGTGACCCTTGAAATGCAAACAGCCCATTCAACAGCTGGAGACCCAGGCCGTATTGCTGGGCCCGCTGGAGAGAAGGGAGGCACGGGAGAACCAGAACCAGTCCTGAGCGGGGCAGACTGTGAGAACCTGCTGCAGTAAATCAAGAGGTTTTCTAAAGGGACTCTGGTGTTTTCTCTGGTGAAACGCTGCCGCTTTTGTCCACGGGACCGCCCAAATGAACACAAAATTTTAATTCCTAGTACTGTTAATGTTAAAAGTGAATGTAAAATGGTAGCTTACATCAACTGTTAAATGTTTGACTTTTACTTTGGTAATTTGCCGAATAACTCAACAAAACAATCGTCCTTTATTACAATACGGATGCAAATATGCTCTTCTTATTCATTTGCTTCTAAAAGCAACCGGTAATAGAGGAGGATGAATTTAGTTGTTGCTGATGAAAATGTAAAAAAGAATAAATGTTGTGACCCTACAGAACCTGATCATGTCTACTTGTGTTGTTTTGGAGCCGGTTATGATCACGGTGTGTGATCTAAACATACAAATGGAATAGGTGTTTCTACTGACATGAGAAGGACTAGATATCTAAATATCATTTGACAAAGAGAGGAGCTACCACCATGGAAAACACATCAGTCCAACCGTGGCGAGCATCCAGGAGTCTGACCTGTTGTTGAAGTTGGTGCAGTAGGTGAGGTCCTTGCAGCCCAGCTGACAGGGCTCTCTGACGTCGGCCAGGCAGTTAATGAGCTCCGTCTCCACTGGGTTGTACTCACAGAGCTGGTCAAAGTCCTGCCATGTCTGGCTGCCCCAGTTGGTGCTGATCTCCTGGCACATGTCCCTGTCAGAGCGGAGCACACAGACACACTTCACCTCAACTTTTGTGCTCCGGACAGCGACGCAGCAGCTTCCGCTAAGCGGCGCGCCGTACCTGCAGAGGGAGGTGTTCGCCTTGGAGCAGCAGTGCAGCTTGGCGCAGTCCATCTTGGCGGGGGGGGGGGTCTCCTCTGGGGGGGGGGGGGGGGGGGGGGCGCTGCCCAGAAAGCACTGCCACATGGGCTCCTGAGGGAGGGGCTGGGAGCCGCACTCATTGATCAGACCCTCCATGATCTCGTGCTCTGTGCTCATGGTGCGAAGGATCCGCCGGCACGCTACCTGACAGTGGGTGGCCTCCGCCCGGTCACAGCAGTACAGACCTGGATGAGAGGTACGGGTGGATTAATGAGTGCTGGGATATGTACTCTTTCATGATATTTATGGTTCCCACCATAGAAAATAACACACACATTATTTTATAGACACAAAGATGACTACGTCACATATAGGTCCACACCCAGTCGTGAAAGTGGGCCGGTACGGTCTGGTACGGTCAACGGTTCAATCCCCAACTGGGACGTGTCACATGTCGAAGTGTACCTGAGCAATACACTGAACCCCTGGGCGCCTGTCATTGGCAGCCCACTGCTCCCTATATACAGGGTCAAATGCAGAGACAAATTTCCCCCTTAAAGGGATCAATATAGTATAATAAATTAAAAATTTACGCATTGAGCTGCATGCCTAAACCCACCAACAACAACCAGTCATGATCGCATTTCAACAAGAAAACATCTTTCACTCATCTGCCAACGTTACAGCAACATAAGGTTAGTTACCTCCGCCCAAAGAGGTTGTTTGTACACGCATTTTTCTTCTCACTTTTATTGACATTGGGAGATAGGACATTTGTGCTGCATTCGTATAGTTTTGGAATAATCCGAAAAAATGAGTTCCCGACCAGGAGAATTCTCCTCTTCTCAGTAACGTCTATGTTGTTTGATTATTACAACTTTAAGCTCATTAACACACCGAAGTTGGCAGAACTGTGGAAATAGGTGCATTCAGGTGCTCCTCGGATGGTCCCATCTGTCGCTGCCTCTCCAAAACTGTTCCGTTAGTCTGCTGCTGGCAAACGTCAACTTCTGCTGCAGCTGACTGTCTGACGTCGAGTGCTGTGGGTTTTGGGCAGACAGTCGTTTCTTGCAAAAAACCTCCCGAGTAAAGCGACAAAATAAGCTGTGCTGTTTCATGATGTTCAGTTTTATTCCAACAAAACGGACAGCAGGTCAAACAAGCTACGAGACTTCTGTAACTCTGCTGACACAACGGTCCTAAACACACACAGTGCTCATCAACAGCTTATGAGCCATTCATTTAGTTGTAATTTTCTTCCGATTAAAATACAACAAATTGATTTTGTCAACATTCACAAATCATTCTGTGGCACTTTCACCATGTATACAGAAAGTGTTTCTAATTTAAAAAATGACTGTGTGTTTAGAGATGCATGAAGCTGGGGTTGGGAAAAGAACAGAATTAAGAGACGAAAGATGAAGAGATAAAAGTTGGGGTAGTAGTACCGGCAAAACACCACACCCAGAACAACAGGGACTAATGAATCCAGTGCTCCTGTAATAAAGCAGCACTGGAGTGTCGGCTGGATGCGTGCATTGCGAAGCGTGAACGGACTCACTGTCGATGGGGCTGCGTATGGGGTAGGACTTGGTGAAGTTGCTGACGCAGCTGAGCAGCTGGGGGCTGTGGCTCTGACAGTACTCTTTGACGGCGTTGATCTGGGACACGGTGGGGGTGGAGTCGGTCCTGAAGATGGCCTGGCAGTACTCCCTGCAGGTGGTGTGGCGCCCTGCATAGCTGCAGCAGTTGGAGCCCACTGAGGGAAAACACACAGACACAGACACACACACACACACACACACACACTCACGGTGACAAACTTAAATACACATGTGGGCTCAGGATGAGTATTTAAGAAAAAAACAAAAACACTGTAAAAGACTACACTCTTATTTTCTGTAACCAGCGTAGCATTAAAGCATGGTAGCATTAGCAAGCTACCTCTCTAGCTAGCATACAGCAGGCCAATTAGCTAGCTAGCATGCTAATTCCACCACGCTTTAATGCTTTGTCTGTTCTTTTAAGTAAAGCTTAGCAAAAGTTAAATCAGGAAGACTCTCTTTACACTCCGGGGGGGTATTCCTGATCAATCACTACCCCCTTCTAATATACTAGGTCACGATGGAGTCTAATTGCCAAAGACTCTTCACTTTTCATCTCATTATGCATGTGTAGTAAATGATTCACTCTTGAACTGACTTTTGGTCCTTAGCATTGTTTCATTGACTCTAACTGGATACTTGTGGTCAACTTCAGAGCTCTAAACCTCCTCAGATTTGATTATTCTCACTAAAGCTGACATTAACAAACAAAAAAAACCCATTAGACCTTTCAACAGGAAGTTAGTGACCTCACATCCTGCCAGGCAAATAACATGGCACGGCTGTGTGTGCATGTTGTGTATGTGTGTGTGTGTGTGTGTGTGTGTGTGTGTGTGTGTGTGTGTGTGT